GATCAAGTTCGTCCGTATTGAACGAGCAGACTCCTCCCGGGCCGCCACTGGTCAAACGCAATACCATTTGGATGACTGAATAAGGTTCAATTCCACACTCATTTAGAGTTCGATGACCAAATAGCTGTCGATTTTCGCATATTAGCCTTTTGTTATTAAAGGTAATTCCTTCTCTTTGCTCGATTTTAGCCATGAGTTGTTCAACTGTTTCCTCTCCTTTTACGTGGTAAGTAAGTGTTGTGCCTGTTAAACCGATTACAAACACAGCGAATGACGTCTCGAATCTCCCTCCAGCTGCAACGTTTGGCCTTTCTTCTTCAAGCATCAATTTCTTTTCAGCTTCATAGTGTCGCGCTAGTAACTCCACTGGATTCATGATGCGGTATGTGTTTCCGAAAAGATCGTTTATGGAATATTGTCCTCCACTCTTCTGTGGTACTACATCTGTGCCAAGAATAGCTGAAAACCCAGCGTAGTGGGGCGGATATGTGCAGATTTGGGGCCGGATTGTTCACTTTTTGTTAAAAGCACCAAATTTTCAGGAATGACAGAACTAATTATGACTATTAATATGTGATATGGTGCCATCGCAAATTTTTCCTGTTAAACTGGTTTTTAGAGTGAAAATTAAACTGGCCGCCATTTTGACCGGAAGTAAATATCATCTAATCTCAAGTAAACAAAATTAAGCATTTTTTTAAGCCAAAATGACGATGAAATCGTTTATTATATAAGCTAATTGGGCTATTAATATGTAATATGGTGCCACCGCAAATTTTTCCTCTTAAACCGGTTTTTGGAGTTATTACTAAAATGGCCGCCATTTTGACCGGAAGTAAATATCACCTAACCGAAAGTACACGAAATTTAGCATTTTAAGACCGTTAAGGTCAAAATGACGACAAAATTGTTTGTTCTATGTTTTTCCGGATATTTATGTCGTATAAAAAAGTCAACCGTGTTACAAATGAGCGGTTTAAATGATAAAACCGGAAGTAAAAGCGGGATAAAATGGCAATTCATCAAGTTTAAGTAGTGAATTTCAAAAAAAAATGTGAAACAATGATTCACATTTTTAAGCATAGGAAAGGCCAAACATACGAACAAATTAAACTAGCAAAACACAGATTATTTCTTTTTACTTGTTTTGACCCTTTAAGTCCGGCTAACAGTGACCAACATCAATTTTCTCCTGACCATATATCCATACAATGTCAAGAGATTAGGTTTTTAGAAATTAATAAAAATCACCTAAGAGAAAATGCTTTGATCTTTTATAAAATTCTCTCAGAGACCAGTTTGAAGAATTTGTATGTGAATACTGGGGCTTAAAGGTTAAAAGAGTTGATCCACTATTAACTAGAATGCAAAATGCTTTGCGGCTTTCAAAGTAATTCGAGGTATAATAGCTCCACCATTTTGTGTTATTGAGGAGTATAAATAACACTCTGTGCATGTACATCTTGGATTGAAATTGCTTTCACGATAACATCTGCTCATTTCAAAGTTTACCATTTTCAAAAAGTTTCCGGGAAATCCGTTTTGGAAGGTAACGGGTACCCTACTCAGCCTACTCTTTACAAACAGTGGGCTGGGTTCTTTAACTTTCCACAGCATTTCAAGATAAAGAACACGAACTGTGAGACGGGGCTTACGGTTTTTTTTTTTTTATCCCAAGAAGACTAGAAAGTCTAACGTTTGCAGATGACCGTAAAAAGGCAGCACTTCTCGTCAGTTACATAAAGATCCTGATCCAGAGTTTATCCGACCGGGGTTTGAAACCCCGGCTTCTGGCTTAGTGGACCGGTGCTTACCCACCTGGCCCGGTTGTTTAAACATTGGATAGCGCTATCCACTGGATAAAAGTCTGTCCAGTGGATAACGCAATTGGTTTCCCTAATACGTATCCGCTGGACAGTGATTTATCCGGTGGATAGCGCTATCCAACGTTTGAAGGACCAGGGCCTGGAGCTAACCGGGCAGCGGTTTCACTCATCTGTATTTCACTATCAAATGACTCTGCGCCTCTCTCGACAGAAATGAGAGTTAGCCTCTTATCTTCACTGTTATCACCCCCCAGAATGTCATTTCGTTATCATGGACTGAGTAGCACTGATTATCATGTTAAAGTCCACATGCAAGAAAATAAGGAAAAAGCGTTGTCCGAATATACATCACTTACGTTAATTCCCTGAGCATGTAAAACGTATTCTCTTGGATATAGTATGGGACAAATATGTCGCACCGAGAACAGCTAGAAGACTAAGATCTGGGGAAAACGTGTATCGGGAGCTATACTAAGAAACTGGAAAAAGTTAGTTCTTATGTAAAGATCGAAATAAGCAGGTGCTTTTTAGATTCATTGCACAGTGAGCAACGCATGTCGTCTAGGGACAGATGTCCAGTCTTTCCCCTGCATCGTTTGAAGTCAATTCGCTAGAAAACATTTTTCGTCATGCTATATCACAAAGCAGATTCCGTTCTTTTAAGGTATAATATATAAAAATATAAGTTAAGACTCTCCAAAGACATTTTCGTTAAGTCCACTCTCCTTTCTAACTACCCATGAAACTTCTATACCATGAAGCCAAGTTAGCTTCCTTATCATATATCTTGTTGCTGAGGTACATCTACGCTACCTTGCAGCCTATGAGATTGCACGTCCTCCATTCCATGAATTCACAGGATGTGACACGCTGAATACTTCTGGTCACCTCAGTCCAGAAATAATCGGAGTGGTTTTCGCTTACACGTTCTTCTATACGATAAAAAAGTAGTTCTTTAAGGTCAACTGACGAAGCCAAAAGTAGTTTCTTTGTCCTGGCCCATATTACTTAAACATTTCAAGGGCATGGCAAACCATGCCGGCCACATATAGAGTCAGCAGGCACTGGTACCAAGCATCTCGGTTCCTAGTCCGCAAGGAGTTGGGGCTAGATATCTCTAACAGGAGAGTGGCGACTCTCCTGCACTCCACTGTCAGAAATTACAAAGTTGAGCGTGGAACTAGTCAAGTACGCTCGTAAGAAGGGTTGTACCCAGAAGAGTGACAATCATGAAAGGCAGTCTTAAACTCTTTTTTTCGATTACAAGCACTCGTCTGCATGAAGTATTACTGCGCTTTTCACAAACATGCGAATTCTGAAGTTCAAAAGCCAATTGACGATTGCGTTTTTCGCTGCCTTCAATCATCTTAACGGACCTCCTAGGAAACAAAACTTTACTTTAACGGGTTCAAAAGGTCAAGGTTTGTGATTTGTGACTGGTGGATTTCGATCTGTTTTGTGTGTTTCTGTGTTTCAAGGTTCGTTGCTTGTGATCGTAATTATGATTGACGGCAGCGAAAAACGCAATTGTGAAGGCGGCTGTTGAACTTTAGAGTATGCATGTTTGTGAAAAGCGCAGTAAGTCATTAGGTCACCGAGATATCACCTGTTATTCTTCAAGTTCTGTATCATAGCAAAAGTAGGCTCAA